TGTGCAAAGGCATGGCACTGAGAGAGCAAATAGTATATTTAATGAATTAAATACAATATGACTGGTGCGAAAAAAAAAAAGTAGGAGATGTACAGATCTGTATATAGGAGTAGCATTGTTTAGAGCTTGGCTGTGAGGTTGAGATATTTGTCCTAAAGTAGGTTTATCAGATTAAGAAAATAAAAATATAAGACTCTCAGTTTAATTTAAATTTCAGATTTAAAAATAAGCAAATAATTTTTAGTACAAATATGTCCGAAGCAACATTTGCAATAAATGGGATATAGTTATACTAAAAATTATTCATTATTTATCTGAAATTCAAATTTCACTAAATGTCCTGTATTTTGTCTTACAACTCTATTCTAAGGGAAATGACAAACCACTGAAGTCTTGAAAACATTGAAATGATATGATAAGGGATCAGAGAGAAAGAAAACTAGTCGTGCAGCAAAAGGCAAAAATCTCTTTCCAAACGTTCTCAAGTTCTTTTAGGACCCCTTTCAACGTGGCCTCATGATAAAACCAAAAATTATGAGAATCTGCTATATCCTGCGACTGATAATAATATTGTAAATGTAACCTGATGAAGATAAATCATAGTTTCAGTAATATGGCAAATGAGGATGACTTATACCAAAATAGGAAATTTGGCCTCTATCTCCTAGCATTCATGCTCTGTAGAGAAAAAGGAATACACACAAGTGACCAACAGGCACAGGAATTTCACTTGCAAAACTAAGCACACTCGTTTTGCTTCCATTTAAATCTAGATTTCACACCTCCCTAATCCTCTACAAAGCATGTGATTATTGTGCCTGACTTTCTCAGAATGCAGTAACTTCTGCTGAGTGCACGGCCACCTCAGTCTGATTCGTAGCAAGGTGTTTTAAAATGTACTGACACTGCAATTACTAAAACATGATCCATCAGAGAAATAATAGCATCCCCTGCTACCTGCAGAAGGAATGGGCATATTGCCAGTAGACAGAAATTATTCTCCCAATTTAATATCCATTTTCTAAAGCACATATTCTCATTTTTAATTATGACTTCATGTGCTTCCTAAGCATCTCTGTGCCCCTGCTTTGTAACCTTTTCCCTAGGAGTTCATATATCCTTTGTTAGACTTCTAATTGCAGCTCTCTGGAATAGAGTAATGGTCAGATTGGAATGAGTTGTTCTCACCTACTGATGGGTCAATTTATGGCCTGGCAACTGTGTGAGTACATGCATCACCAGGAAACCAGAATCTCCATAGGAGGTCAATAACTATCAGCAGTAGGTCTGATAGTTAAAGTGGAAGGAAAAACAAAAGGCCAAAGATAAAGTTTGAGAAAGCATTTGACTTTTTTTTTTTTTTTTTTTTTTTTTTACAAGGCCAGGAATGCAGATGTAACGCACGGTAGGTATTTTAAATCATCTTCCTACCAAAAAAAGTTAACACATGCTATTGCTGATACTCAGTATGTCCATCCAGTCCTACTCTTGGTATTACAAAAATGAAACTAAAGTACAAGAAATAATTCGAGCCTGAATAAGTGGCTGCAGTTAGTACTTTTTGGCCACGCTAAGACCTCACTAAGTGACATAGAGTTCAGTAAATACGTGTTAAGTGGCTAACATTGGATGAAGGCTTATCACCTGCCAGTGATTATTATGGATACTTTAATGATATCTATTTAATATTCACTGCAACCTGCCAAGGTAGGTATTATTCTCCTTATTAAACAAATGACAGAATTTAAATAGAAAGCACAAGTGATTAGCCAAGGACACAAAGCTCAGAGTGACAGACCAAAGGTTCAATCTAGGCTATTGGACTCTAAAGCTGTGCTTTTCACCACTTTGCTACTCTTATTGTAGGACTGGAACGCTGTTTAGCAATGGAGAACACTTGTGTGGCCCACAAAATATAAAGGTAGATTACTGGGTTGCTTTGCCTTGGTAAGATGTTCAAGTTGAACAGTTTTCTCAGTTTCCCCTGGCTCTTCCATGACTTTAGGTAATTTGACAAGAATTCTGGTACATAAAGAAAAATAAGTGGTTGGGAATTAAGCTTGCACAAAGCAACAATCAGTTGTGTTCTTTGATTTAATCTGTAGCCATTCATTCTTTCATTCAATGATTATACATGTTGGATAAGGTGCATCCAATTTGATTATTTAGACATCATTTCTGACCAGAAGCACAGCCCACAGGGATATATGAGCACGCAATGAAACAATGAGAGTGGCAATTTGTACTGACAGTAAAAGCTACCCAGCTGTATTCTAGGTCTTTAATGCTCTAGAGAATATGTAACCCAGCATCCCAAAGACTCTCAATCTTGCTCTTTCTCCTACCTGCTTACTCAGGACTTTCCTGCCTCTTGCAAAATATCCCCAGAGATTTCTAGAAATATCCAAAAGGTGCTTCTTCTGGAACATGAACTGATCCATCAGCTCAGAGACTTTATAGTAGACACACTGATTAGGTGAGACCCAGGAAGGGAGGAAAAACACTGTCCTGTTCTCATTAAATGCCTTATGGGAACTTCACCATTTTTGATGGTGGCCCTAAGCCACTCCTCTCCCCTATACCACAGTGTAAGGATATTGCCCTTGATCTAATTTTGAGTTACATTTAGTTAATAGCGTGTTCTGTAGCAGAGCCCAGAGGGACACAGGGTCTCACAGACTCTCAGAAAAAAAAAAAAAATGTCTCCAGCTGTAATTCTTTCTCTCTCTAAAAAAGCCAACAACTTATCCAAAGGATTAAGCAGGGACATATGCTCTGTTGTTTTTCTATTTTTATTTATGTCTCTCAAGAGCTCGAGACAAACAGATAAAACACAAACAAAACAAAAATTTCCCTGTCCTTTAACCAAAAAGCATTAAAAAAATCTTATGCAAAATACTTGTGCAAATTGCAGCCACCAGCCCTCTAGAAATATACACAGCCTGACTCAGTCAGGGTTCAAACAGGACATCCTACTACACATAGGACATGGCAAATGCTGTAATAGGGACGTGAACACAGTAGTTAAGGAGCACAGAGGATCACTGTGTCTAGGAGTTCTGGAAATCTTTGTTCAAGTAGGGACACTTAGGCTCCATCTTGAAAGACGAGCAGACCTCTGTTGTTCCACAAAGAGACATTATGTCATGTTGGACAGTGGAAATTGGAAATACAAAAGTTTGGATGTATAAAAGAGCTTGGAGTTCTTGCATGAGTGGGAAGTGTGGTGTGTTTGGGATATGAATTGTGTTAGTGTGTGCATTTGGGGAGGCAGTTTGGGGCAGTGAGGCTGTAAAGGAAGGATGGAACCAAATTCACAGGGGCCATTGTTCTGGGATATTTTAAGTAAAAAATTTTCTAAGTGGTTCTCAGTGTAAGGAAGGGAAAAAAATATTTTCCTCTTCTACTCATCTTAGGTTCCTTGGTTAGGGTCCTATAAATTATATGAACAAAAGACACATTATAAAGATAAGAAGAAAACCCAGAAGTTTATTAGCATGTGCATCACATGCATACGTGTGGGAGGACTCAGAGATGAGTAATTCACAGGTGTGGTTGGAATTTAAACTTATATAACATCTTACCAAAATAATGATAGATCTTACAGAAGTGACAAGACAAAGGAGAAGGACTTGCAGCTTTCAGGGGCAGCAAATGTGGGAAGACAAATATATGGGGAAACGGGTAGATAAATGCTAGTTTTAGCAAAATGTGTTATGCTGACTTCTTTGATGCCTTCTCTGGGCTGATAAGGCTTAGAATCATCTCCAATGATTAGCTTTTGTCCTTTCTGGTAAAGAGGGGAAAAGGGGACACCTTTACAAATTTCTGTCCTACTTTTAGACAAATAGGAGGTGGGCAGAGAGCTTTCCTTGCATCTGCTTCTTTCAATTGATTTTAGCTCAAAATAATCCTTATGCCAAAGTGGCATATTTTGAGGTAGCACATTCTGCTATCCTTCATCATTAAAGTTAGGCTTCCATTTTTCCGAATTTGTTACATACTCTTTAACTCCATTTAGAGAAGAGGAAAATATATTAAAAAGAATGGACATTAAAGAGGCCCAATCAATTTCAACATATGTAGTCAATAAAGACTTCAGGGGCAAACTGAACAATGCAATGCAGCCCGGGACATGTTATGTTAAGCAGAATCTTTTTACAGTTCTAAACATAATGATCTCATAATTTGCTTTAGTCAGATTTAGTGTTTATTGCTTATTTTTATTTAGCTTGAAATAGTCTATGATCCCACAACAATTGTAGCAATTGACATTTAGGTTACTATTTGAAGATGGTTCTCACCCACTTCCTTGATTTGCATTAGGAAAGCTTATCACTAAACCCTCCAGGTCTTTAGCCCCCTTCCTTACTTTTCCCAGCAGAAGTTGGTAGGGAAGAGCATATTGTCCATGATTTTATATCTGGAATTCATCTAATAAGAAATCCTAAATAGGGGGGATCCCCAGTCTTTCTACCCTCTTCTCCCCAGGCCCATAAGTTGCTGATGAAGAGTAGGGAACTTCCTGTAAACTCAAGTTTCACTGTTCGTCTATTCAAAGGTCTAGATTACAGTGTAGGAAGATTAGAAATTCCATTTTTACCACATGTCTATGCCATTCCTGTATGCCATCATCTTCTCATGCTCATATTTTGATTTCCATCTGTCTAGCTCTTTTGTTGTTTTCTAGATTGGGTTAAATCAAAAGTAAGAGAAAAATAAAGTCTTTAAACAAGATTTATTTATTTTAGACAGAGAGAGAGGAAGAGAATCTCAAGCAGACTCTCCACTGAGCACAGAGCCCCACATGGGGCTCGATCTCATGACCCTGAGATCATGACCTGAGCCAAAATCAAGAGTCAGATACTTGACCAGCTGAGCTACCCAGGCATCTCAGAAAATATATGTTTTTGATTGCCCTCTGCAAAATAAATATTCCTACATTTAATTGACTGGATTCACCAATGATATGTGTGTATATATATATATATACACACATACATAATATGGAACACTTCACTAATTTGCATGTCGTCCTGGCACAGGGGCCATGCCAATCTTCTCTGGATCGTTCCAATTTTAGTACATGTGCTGCCGAAGCGAGCAGACACCAATGGTATATTAACAATAATTTATATTTGCTAGCAGTCGCTATTGCTCAAATTATTCTTATGTACATTTCCTCATTTCATCTTCACAATAATCCCATGGAGTTGGCAGTGCAAAGGCGTTATTCTCATTTTACAAAGGAGACGACATCCCGGTGATTGAGTGGCTTGCTCAGCCTAGTCAGCTCTTTGGGTTTTGTCATCCAGAGAAATCCACTTGTGTCCTGGATTCATGAGACTGTAATAGCAGCATAACAGTAGTAATTGCTGCACTGGAGTGGTGAGGGCATTAGTGTGAAAAAAGGTGTCTTTATATCTTTGCTCTAGTCCTTACTAGTTATGATTAGGTGAGCCACTTAACCTCTTTGTCTCAGTCTCCTACCCTACAACATAAAGATAGCATCCCCTATATCAAAGTTGTCATGTGCATTAAATGAGAAAATATATATATACAGCACCAGGCCTGGTATATATTAAGAACTAAATATCTTATTGTCTAATATCATTATTATCATTATTAAGAAATAGTAGATAACAGGACATAGAGTGTGTGATTGAAGGAAAATGGAAATTCAAGTGTTGGTTCTGGTTCCCTGTCTGGGCCTAAAATTCAGATTCCCAAAAAACAAGATTTTACTTCCATCCATATGTGCTTCCATTTCAAAATTCATTAGGTCTGATTGGCTGCTATTAAAGCCGGTTGAGTTTGGTTGCTTTATAGTCTCACAGCTCTGTAAAATGAGAAAAAAAAATCCCCGAAATATCATTGTAGGAGCCATATTCATAAATCATTACATGTGTTGCTAGACCACTGTGAGCACTCAAATTTACTTTTATGATCATGCTCACTTTCATGTAACTTTGGGTCTTTTATTTGGCCAGTTAATGACTGTAGTAAATTATGAGGAAATGGTCTAATACCACTATTCCAACAAAATGATTTATTGATATTTAATATTAACAGTGCCTGAGAAAATCAGTAGGACATTTTGAACAAACATATCCATATCCTGCCCCCACAAGAGAGACTTTTATTGTTCCTTTAATGAGACAGTTAAGATGAAACAAGGAGATTCTTTTTTTTTCTATGTATAGAAATGTAATTCTGTACACAGCCATGTAATTTGACCTTCTGTCATTAAAAGTAAATGTAATAAGATAATCAATAATAAACACTTTCCAGTGTAATTCGGCTTCATCCTTGCTGTCTGAAAGGGGCCATTGCTGTGGGAGGTGTATGTCTTAAAGATCTCTCAATCCTTGATACCTTGGGTGCCTATAATAGCAGGAGCTTTCAAAATCTAAATTACTCATTTCTGCTGTGTGCTTGTTACCATCTTTCAGATGAACTAAATTAAACTTGCCACTTTGCACCATGACACAGGAGAAAATCATACAAGTTTTCTTTTAATGTTACTTTACTGAATTAAGTAAATAGAATTCTGTTCTACTTTGATTGTTTGGTTTAAAAAAAAAATCAAACATTGAGGAAGAAAAAGAAAGCATCCCATTTTTGTGAGAAGTTCAGTATGTGAAACCAAAATCAGAACTGGGCATTACCTCTGAATGCTGTCTATACAACTGTTCTTTCCGCTTTATCTATCAGAAACTCTACCACTCAAATTCTACCCCCAATTCTAGCATTCCTATTTCTTTGTTCATTTCTGTCCTTGGAATTGTTTTTGGAGGGAAGTCGGGTTCTTTCGTGAAATCATTTCAGTTTTTGGAGAGAATGATTAATTCCTAAAAGAGAGAGAAAAACAATAAGAAAGCTTGGGGCAGAACTTCTCCGTTCTCACATTTCTCTTTTGCACTCACATTTAAAAATGCGTAGACTTCACCTGAGCATTGGAATTAGTGGGTTGTCTTGGAAAGTAATAAGAGTCTGGCCACTTGAGAGACTCCTAACTCTGGGAAACGAACAAGGGGTAGTGGAAAGGGAGGTGGGCGGGGGTTGGGGTGACTGGGTGATGGGCACTGAGGGGGGCACTTGGTGGAATGAGCGCTGGGGGTTATGTTATATATTGGCAAATTGAACTCCAATAAAAAAAAAATAAAAAAAAAAGAGTCTGGCCACATGCAGCTTGAGTTTCCACGGGACAAACACCAGTGGGAGCTGAGCAGCAGTTGCCCGTGTTGGAGGCCCCTGAACTCTGGCTGGGCTGTTAGCGTCCCCACCAGTCTCCCCACTCCAACCAGCCTGCTTCCCTCGGCTATATTGCTAACATACCTATCGATCTATCAATCTAGATCTAGATCGGGATACATGACTATTCTCTGATGTTGTTGTTGTTATTATTATTAACAGCAGAAGACTGATTCCAAGGTGGGTAGGCAGCCTCACAGTCCACCTCCATCACTCCAACATTTTTCCTAGGGAAGCGTGACTCTAGGTGATTTACTCGGTAATTTCCTCATCTGTAAAACGGAAGATAATATTCATAGTTCCTGCCTTGTGAACTTGTATGACAATCAATACGAAGGTGCACGTAAAGCGTAATGCCTAGAGCACGGTGGGTATGCCCATAAGTGGTAGCTACGGGCGTCCTGGGAGACATCAAAACAAACGTGATTTTTAAAGTTGACTGTGTGATCCTATCACAGCATTTCGTATGAGAGGCGCCCTGTATCAGGATCTTCGATTTTCACTTACATCCTCCCCCTTGAATGGTCTGGGATACTTGCCAATGGACATGCTGCCTCTGTCATTCAGGAGGAATCTTTCGGTCTTGAGCAGGGTAATGAATGAATCAGGAAAGCCCAAGCAAACGTGCGGACAGACGTCCCTTGTCAGAGCTTTGATTTAGATTCCTTGCAGAACAACAGAAATATTCCTTATGTTTCCATTCTTTTCGAAATGCAAAGAATGCCAGAGCTTCAAAAACAGGACAGAGAAGTGCACTACCCTAGAGGAAGGGCTGTAACACATTTAAAGCCAGCCTCTAGGAATCAGGGTCCGGATGCTCTCCTCATTATTTTCCCTGTTCATGATTTAGCACCATTATCTGTTCTGATCCCTTCCTACAGATTTTCCAGGGCTCACGGGCTGCAAATGTGGTTCTTGGATCCAGTACAGGGTCCGTAGCTCATCTAGAACGCAGTAGGTCATTCAACATATTTCTGATTTACTGCCTTTGATTTCTTCTTCAGGAGCAAAAACAGAAGCTTGTGGGTGGAGGCAGACGATCTCTGATTACAACTGTGGATGGAGAAATGGTTTCTTCTGACATTTTTCCTTCAGAGAGACTAAGCAAAATTGCAGCACAGTTTAACAGTACTCTTCTTAACTCACTGCAGGTTGCCATGGAAACAGGAATCTCGCATCAACAAGAAAGGCATTTAGGGAATCTGTTCGGCTCTAACATTAGCATGATCTAGGCTTCCCTGCTCACCGCTAACAAGTCTAGCATCTCTTTTAGAATATCATTAATACTCATTAAATTTCTGTGCATGTGCTTTCAGGGAGCTTCATGTTGCGTTTGAGGTCATTTTTATTTATTATTTTTTTTTTTTGTGAGTGACCGACTCAGCAGAGATACATATTTTGTAGAACTGTATTTAGCTCATCTAGCACATGAAGTCAGATTCACTTTACTTACACTGTTATTTTCACATGATCCAGATTTAGATTTTAATAGAGGAGAACATGTTCGCGGTGGCAATTAAGGAAATCTGCTAATGTTTAGGAAGTTTATTTATAATAAAGAAGAACCAAATGGGAATTTTTGTTCTGTAAACGAAGTTTAATAAAAACAGACCCTTTGATCATTTACTTGTGTGGGGCAACTTTTAGGTTAGCTCTCATACGTAAGTTTTGCTAAATAGTATTTTAGTGTTTGTTTTTCCGGATAGTTTACTTAGGAATCTTAAAACACTAAGAGATTATGTTGTTGGCAAAGTTAACTGGACTTTCTTTCCCCAAGAGCTGTAAAAAAATGTGATTAAAAAGTCATCAATTTGTTTAAAGCAGTTATAGCAATGGCTAAATTACCATTTTCTTTAATTTCACTAAAGAAAGGATTTTTGGTAGACTTGTTGGGGAAAAAAATAAGAGAAGTCCTGTTTGAATTATGTGTCAAACTTTTCAAATTATTTTCTATGTGCATTGAAATAAGTCACTGGTTCAACAGTTAATCTCCTTCTCTAGCTGAACAATGACCTCCTGAACTGATTCTGGGGCTTCCCATTATTGAAAGGTTGTGTGTGGCTCTCAATGCCAAGGGCTTTGGGCAGGTAGCAAGTTTTTGTGGTGAACACATTAGCTTCGGAATCCAAAAGCCAAAGTTCAATTCTCAGCTCCACTTCCTGCCAGCTAGGTGACTCTGGGCAAGGTACTTTTAACCACATCGTACTCCCTTTTCATCTCAAAGTTGATACAAGGATTAAATGAGTTAGATTATGTACAGTACTCAGATTTTTGCTATAATATACACATACTGGTATGGAATACATACACAATGAGTTTTCATTGTAGGTATCATTAATATACTAGTTTTATAGCTTAGATAATCGGAAAACACCGCTAAGCCAGGATTTCCCTTTTTACTAAAATCAAACATCATAAAATTTAAATTTAGCTTTTTTTTTTTTACCCCTGAGCTTGTTGTTCATCTTGAAAAATGGGTTATAATTAATAAAAGGTCCAAAAGCCAGAGGATAAGTAAGACATGAAAATAATAAGACCACAAACAGACTGGAAATGTGATTTATAGGTGGCAAATTGAACAAAACCAATCACCAATAAGTCATCTCCAGTTTTAGAGTCAAAATGTGCCTATCAGCCGTCTTGTCGCTGGTTTACCTAGCTTGTGGATCACAATCAATTAGTCTGTAATAAAATATTTATCATGCACAGAGTCTATGATTTCTCGAACTTGATGTTTAATTTCTTTTATGTTGAGTTTTAAATACATAAATGAATTCCATCCCTTTTTTTTTTCACCTGAAATGGAATCCAAGTGAATAGACAAAGCAATAAATAAGATGGAACCCAAAAGTT